AAACAATTACTTTCAACTCTAGATGAAAATTTCCTTTTGCCGCAACATAATTCTAGTCATAGTTTATTGATGTTTGGAACCTATAGCCTTTCTAAAACCTTTTTTCTAGCTTCTGATTAGCAGATCGAGTCGAAGAGAATAAAGATAAAGTCATTAGTATACGTTTGAACATCATAGGGTCCGGATTTTATAACGGAGCACATACCCTTTTTTTCTTTTTCAAATTTGTTTTATTTTCAAGATGAAGATACTACTTGTTTTGCCTATTTGATTAGAAAGGACTCCGAAAATCATCTTTAGTCATTTTTCATGTCTGATTTCATTTCCCCCCAAGTAAAGCCTACTAAATGTACAATTCGTGTTACCATGACAGAATCCACCGGTTCACTGTATCCAACCTACCATGACAGAATTTGCTTCTTTTTGGCACCCCTTTGAACTTGATAATGTCGTTAATAATTCGAAATAAATCAGTCGGGGGAACTTCAACTTTAAAATTTGACTAGATATGTGGACCAGAACTTCAATAATACGAGCGTTTTATATGCTGATATGTTAGACCTTGAGAGGGGAATGCCAGCTTGCTTCCTTTTTGTTAATTCGCCTATTTGTTTGTTTCGTATGCTGGAATTGCTGCCTAGGAGATCTGATATTCGGATATCAGAAGTTATAATGTAGGGTGAATGAATTTGCAAAAACAGGCTTCATTACTATGTCAGCTTACAAGGAAATTGATCGTATAGCACTAACGAGGTTTATTGATTTGATAATACATTCGAAGCGAGCAGTTTACAAGGGACTTTCTGTAAGGTTTGAGATCCAATTCGATTTGATTTTTTTGTTCTATTTTATTTTGGTAGCGAACATTTCAGGTTCCTTTCTTGGCATTTGAGTGAGGTGTACAATCAGATTGCTGGATATACACTCCGGAAGATTGGTTCCGATTAATACACCATGCATCCCCGAAAACTGTACCGGTAGTGGCACATCAAACAATAGATTATTAATATTTTTCTCTGCTTTTTCAGCTGCCGAAATGCCTGGCTGGGTTGCTTCTTCTTCTTGCCTTAAGTTTTCTTCGTATTATCCGGGATCGTTTTTGTCTTAGATAGTAAGGAGTTTCTGTTCAAGTTTTTAGTGTGAAACGTTAGAGGAATCTCCCTTTTGGTAACCGTTTTGCTTTTGCGGATAAGTTTTCCAAGAACGCATTCGACATCTCTCTTTTCTCGTTCATTTGTGTCATATACGGAGAATTGTTACCATGCTGCATCAATCACCATTCTAATTGTGTTTTTCCGAATATTTGTTCTCAATGGCTGTTCTTATGTTACTCAGATTCGGAGGTGAGATATCGGAGACGATAGGCTGCGCGGTCTGTTATGAGTATGTTCCATGTTTTTAGTGACTTTTTTCTTGTATTTAAAGTAACATACTTTCATGTCCATTTCTGAACACGTGATAGCGACTCGTGTTTAACACGAGAAAACCGAATATATCTTGCTAGGGTTTTCAGGATCACTTTTATGGTGTCAACCAAAAGAAGATGATGCCATGTTTGTGGTCCTCTCCCGGCCTTTTTGTGTGAATTTTTGTGGCATGTTGTCCCTTTCCTTTGATAAAGAGCATGGGACTTGGTTTTATGCCTTTTGTTATGTGGATTTTAGGAGGCTTCCACTAACCAATCAACTTTTTTTTTGGTACACACTAGTCCTTCAGCTTGGCAATTTTACCCAAGTTGATCCTCCAATTTTTTTGGTCCACGTTATTCTTGAAACTTGGTAACAATGAGTAAAGTGGACTAAAGAAGCCATTGAAAAAGAAATTATCAAGTTCGAGGGTTAACGTGGACTAAAAAAAGATTGGGGATTTAGTTGAAAATTTTTGTCAAGTTTAGGGATTAAATTTTACTTTTTCTTGGGTTGTTCTGTAATTGTATTTGAGGAATTTATGTAGTTGAAATTTTGTTTTTGGCAAAATTTAAATTTATGTTATATAGATTATTGTTTTATGTTATTATAAAGTGTTTTTAACCTTTCATGATGCGTTACAAGTGTATATATATCATTGTCATTTTGTGTTAATTATTAGGGTAAATTATACGTTTAGTATCTAAATTGTCAGTTTTGGTCAATTTTAATACTTAAGCTTTCAATTTTTTTAAAATCATATCTAAAGTTTAATTTTTGTTTCAGTTTAGTACATCGTTCAAAGTTTATCATTAAATTTTAAAAAAATAATTAAAAGTTTAGGTACTAAAATAGGTCAAACATAATAGTTTAGGTAGTAAACGTGTTAAGTTTTTAATAGCATATACTAAAATGAAACAAAAACTGAATGTTATACATGATTTTGAAAAAAAGTAAGATTTATGTATTAAAACGAACCAAAATTGATAGTTTATGTATTAAATACATAATTTATCCTAATTATTAAATATTGAAATTAAAAAAAATATTTTTGAAAGCTAAGTTGATTATAAAGTAATACATGCTTTAAATACTATTAACCCTGTTGCAGCAGCTGGTGCTCGAACCCGTAACCTCTAGGAACATCGATGATTTCTTTAATCACTTAGATAAGTTGGTTTGTGCAAATAGAAATTTATTTTATACTTAATTTATAATAATTATTTTTATGATATATTCTATAATAAATATCGTAATCCTAAATACATCATTAATATGATACATTGATGTACGTTATTAATTATATTATTCTTATTAAAGAAATATAAAAATTTCAAGGACTTATCTTTGATAAATCCCTTGTAAAAATTTAGTTTTAATTCTAATAAGAATATAACTAAATCATGTATTTTTTTATTAAAAATTATTACAATAATTTAATATGAACAATAAACCTATAAAATGATTGTCTTCCATAGTCGATTATATCAAATTTACCGTCGACAACTAGGGATGGACATGAGTTTGGTTTGGTTGGTCGAAACTCGACCCAACTCGAAAATTTTATATCATTCATCCGATCTGATTCAACTCGAAAAATATATACCTTTCACCCAATTTAACTTTTTGAGATAAAATTCGAACCCAATCCGACCTAAAATAATAAAAATACTATTTTTATTTAATAAAAATATTGATTTAATTGGAAAAATAATATATAGAGGAGTATTATTGTAATTATTTCTAAATATATAAGGTAAAATTTTATTTTTTTGGGGTCTAGTCGAGTTGAGTATTTTTCACCCTAAACCTGAATCCGACCCGACCCGAACAACACCTTTTAAAAAACCGACCCGACCCAAACCCAAATAATTTTTTTTAATCCAATCGGATCGGGTTGGAACCCGTCCAGTTCCGGTTCTATGCCCATCCCTATCGATAACCGTTATAATTTTAATATTTTTAATAAAATAAAACATGATTTAATTATATTCCTATTAGAATTAAAACAAAATTTGTACAAGCAATTAATCATAGATAAAATTTTAATATTTTGAATATTTTCTTAATAAAAACGACCTATTAGCGATGTACAACGATATGTAATATTAATGATGTAATTCGATGCGTAACGTTCATTATAGACTCATCCATAATTATTTTATATTTAAATAGTAAAAAATAAATTCAAACCCTAAATATTAAAGTGTAAATTATTATCCACTTGCATCTTTTAACTTATTGGTAAATTTGTCAAAAAGATTAATCATTACAATTACTTTATAAATAAATTATTGTCGTGTTTTTCTTTCGTTTTTTAATAAAAATAATTTTAATTACCTAAATTAACACATATATTAATTTTTAATTCTAAATAATTTAATAAATTTAAGGGTAAAGTACACAAATGGTCCTTTGACTATAGGGTACTATTTTATTGAGTCTCTTGACTATTAAAAGTTACAAAATAATCAATTGACTACATGGTGTTGCTTTGTTTAGTTCATATACTATTAAAAGTTACAAAACGATCACTCGAATATTCATATGTTACAAACTCATCATTTTCTGTTAAAATATTAACAGTCGTATTAGCTGAACATTAACATGCTGGGCAGGATATGATAAAATCTAATCTCATAACCGTTTTAGTTGTACAGTTGTTTGAGATTCTAGGATCAAATTTTTATCATAATCTAATCAACAGGTTAACGCCCAGCTCAGACTATTGTCAATTTTTTTAACAAAAAAAATGATTTTGGAACAATTAATAGTCAAATGATCATTTCGTAACTTTTAATTGTCGGCGATTCAACAAAGCAACACCTTATAGTTAATGAATTATTTTGGGATAAAATACAGAAATGGTCCCCTAACTACAGGGTATTGTTTTATTAAGTCCCTTCAACTATTAAAGGTTACAAAATGATCATTCAACTATAAAGTGTTGCTTTGTTGAGTCCATCGACTATTAAAAGTTACAATATGGTCACCTGACTATTAATTATATTTCAAACTCATTATTTTCTGTTAAAAAATTAATGGTATTCTAAGTTAAACGTTAACTTGCCGATTGTAATATGATAAAATATGATCCTAGAATCTCAAATGACTATTATATCTCAGTCATCATGTTAACGTCCAGCTTAAATAACCACTAATTTTTAATGAAAAAGGATGAGTTTGAAACATAATGAATAGTCAGGTGATCATTTTGTAACTTTTAATAGTCGATAGACTTAATAAAATAACGCTCAATAGTCAGAGGATCATTCTGTAACTTTTAATAGTCGATGAACTTAATAAAATAATACCTTATAATCAGAGAATTATTTATATACTTTACTCGTTATTTTATAACTTTAATAGTCAAAAGACTTAATAAAACAATCATTTAAGGGATCATTTATATATTTTACCATAAATTTAACCGATTTAAAATCCGGACCACTCCATACCACCTAGGCCTACTAAATCAAGAACAATTGGGCTTTAAAGGTACAATGTACTCAATGACTATTCTGCCCTGCAATAAACGTAATCAAATTAGGGTATTATTATAATTTCCCATAACTAGGGTTTTTGTATATTGCAAAGCTTAAAATACCCGTCCATGGCTGCCGTGCTTCCACTCAAACCCTAGCTTCATTCTCTTCTGGGATTTGCCTCAACACAAAAAAAAGCCCCAAAGAAGGCTTGAACATTTCCCTCATCCAAAATGGGTATTTCTCAGATCCCTTTAATTCGTCATTAACCCTTCTAAATCATGTAATTTCTCTGCTTAATGGGTTTATTTTGTTTTTCTTTGCAGGTATATCTCGTGATTCGATGCACAAGAGGCGTGCCACTGGTGGCAAAAAGAAGGCTTGGAGGAAGAAGAGAAAGTAATGAGAAAACCCTTTGTTTCATTATTGTTTTTGTTTTCAATTACTATTTTTTTTTGCTAATTTTTTGTTGATTTTTCTTTGAAGGTATGAGCTCGGAAGGCAACCAGCAAACACGAAGCTTTCGAGCAATAAGACGGTCAGGAGGATTAGGGTTCGTGGTGGAAATGTGAAGTGGAGAGCTCTGAGACTCGACACTGGGAACTACTCATGGGGAAGTGAGTCCGTGACTCGTAAGACCAGAGTTTTGGATGTGGTGTACAATGCATCGAACAACGAGTTGGTTCGTACACAAACTCTGGTCAAGAGTGCTGTTGTTCAAGTCGATGCTGCTCCGTTCAAGCAGTGGTATCTCCAGCACTATGGTGTTGAAATCGGTCGCAAGAAGAAAACCGCAGCGGCCAAGAAAGAAGGAGAGGTAGTGTGTTTATTGTTTACGTGTTGTTCGCATTGATAATACTTCGATAGATCGGCTCTTAGGGAATGAATTTATTGTTTCTGTAGCAATTATTTGGTTTGTGCCGTGTTGTATGGAAATTGAACCTTGATTTAGTCCACATTAGTGTGGAGTTTGTTTTTAAGTAGCTGATTTTAGTTTATCTGCAATATACTATTTGTTTTTGTCTGTGGTTCTGCTTGTTGCTACTGATTTACCCTCACTTTTTGAACTGTACGTGCATATGATATGACTATTGTTGATGGAACAAGGTTGGTTGTGTCTGCTAATGGCAGTTCACCCCTACTGGTTTTGGCTGTGGGCCGAGAACTGAATCTCGGTGGTCGGCCAGTACTCAGTATAAAAGAGTTGGTTATGCAAGAAAGGGAGTGAACCAAAAAGTCAGAAGCCCCCTTGCTTCCCATTATGGGAGTTTATATACTGATCCTTAGTGTTTGTGTGAGATGTAGGTCTATAATAGTTATTCCTAGATTGACATGATAGGTAGGTTAGGCTGATGTGGCAAGTTAATTATTTATTTTGACGTTGGTGGATAGTGTGGGCCTGCCAAGGGTCATATCAGCTGGGCACAGTTTCCCAAGATTTAACTCTTCGGGATCGTTCCTCCCGAGAGGTTCTCTTTGCCTCTTCTGGAGTTTTGAGGTGCCGGAGGTGTTATAGGGTCATCCGGTAGCTGTGAAGGGAGAGGATGGTGTGTGTGAAGGATCTTTAGCAGGGTACAACAACAACTATTTATATACGAGTGGTTATTCCTATATCTAATGCTTTGAATCCGAGGTAAGTGTTTGACATGAGTATGCCGAACTTTTGTTATATATCTAGAGATTTGGACCTCAATACCCATGTACTGGTCACTGATACATCCAAGGAAATCAACTGTCAGAGCAACATAGATTTCTTTCATGCTAACTTCAGTATATCAGTTGGTTTCCGTGCTTCTCCATTGTTGTTATAGGCAGGATTGAGCTTAATGACGGTATTGCTGTTCACAGGAAGGTGAAACCGGCACTGAGGAGACAAAGAAGAGCAACCACGTTCAAAGGAAGCTAGAGAAACGTCAACAGGATCGCAAGCTCGACCCACATATCGAGGATCAATTTGCAAGCGGTCGTTTGTTGGCTTGTATCTCTTCAAGGCCTGGTCAGTGCGGCCGTTGTGATGGGTATGTCTTGAAAGTTCTCAACCCCTCCCACTTTTGGCGTATCTGTTATTTTCACCATTGTAACTATTATCGTTCTCAAATGGGTTTGACAGATATATCTTGGAAGGCAAAGAGTTGGAGTTCTACTCGAAGAAGCTCCAGAGGAAGAAGGGGAAAGGGGCTGCCTAAAAATCCCGGTATGAGAGGTTTCATCTCACACATCGGAATCTCCTTTTTTGCCTCGTTACTTTTTTAAGAACATTAAAGATTATGTTTTGAACTTTTGTTCTGAATGTGTCGACGACGTTTTCGTGTTTTTTGATGTTCGATGATGATGAACTTTATAAATGCAGCAGGCCATTTTTATTGGTAAATGATTAATCTTACAGGCCTCCATTTTTTATTATTCTTGGTTATAATGATCAACTTGTTGGATACGTTGAAAGTGAAATTGTTGAGGTAAGTTGCTACTATTGATTCACATGGTGTCTTTGATGGAACCGAATACACCCCTAATATATGTTAAAGAAGTCGATTGAGTTTCCGATGTAAATCGAACATGCTTGCTTTGTAATTTAAAGAAGGGTAAACTATACGAATAGTCCTTTTGTTTTCGGTATGATCGACTTTGGTCATTAATTTTAAAATTAAGGGTAAATAATCTCTAACATTATCGATCGGTCCGATTTTATCCCCTAACGTTATCGGTTCCTCAGGTTTAAATCTCTCCACCGTTAACTTCCGTTAACCCGTTAACGAAAGTCTAATGTGAAAAATAAAAAAAACCCAAACCCAAACTCACGTGTCTTCTTATTCCTCGATTGAAAACCCTAACCTTCAAGAAAATAAAAACTCAAAAACCGTTTTGAACAACATTTCTTCTTCTTATTCATCCGTTAACAACCTCATATTAATACCATTTTATATTTTTGAGTTTTCTTTTGGAGGTTAGGGTTTTCGATGGAGGAGGAAGAAGAAGAAATTTTTTTACAGAACTATTTGCTGCTACACATTTACAGAAGTATTTGCACCCCGGGCAGCAGCCAGCAACAAGCGTTTGACCAGGCTCTAACGTATCCGATGCCTCCTGGTGTCGACTTGGAGCCTGATCTTCCCGTTATGCCCGATGCTACAAATTCACATAACATTTGACGTTCAACCTCTTACTATAATTGTTGAGGACTAAATGTATAATTATACCAATTTAATTAACGTCTGCATTTTTGTTAAATATTAATGACAAATGACTTGATTGAATATAATTAAATAATTAGATGATCTGATTAATAAAATTACCCATCATATACGTTCTCGTCACGATTATCCATTATGTTTACTCTATCACTAGAGTGTTTGACGTAAAATCAAACAGTTAAAATATCATTATTATGATATCATAAGTCACGAATCATTACTCTCTTTTTATAAAATATGTACGATAGAATATACATTACCGTTGCTTTTCAACTTTGGAGTGTTTTCTTTTTCTTTTTCAAAGTGAGGTCAATGTCTTTCATCTCTCCAAACGTGTAACACTGTTCACACGTATGAAATTAATTAGTACAAAATTTATTGCACTCAATACGTACATGAAATTATTAATTTTATAAAAATTATAATTATAAAATAGTTCAATAAAAATTGTAAATAAATTGTAAAAAATTTAAGTTTAATATAAAAATAAATGATCAAATTATACTTTAACTTTATGCGTCTAAACAATTTTTTTATTAAAAATAAATACCTAAAATTTTCTCCATTGAACTTTTAAATATCAGGTGCGTCACAATCATTAAATTCGGGCATTACATTACACATATCATACTTATTAAGTTATAAAAAAATTATTTTAAAATAAAAAAATTAAAATCATAATTTATTAAAAAAAACACAAATTCCTTTAAAATAAAAATATAAACCTCAAAATCCTTAATATTAAATTCCATTTTCAATTATCGCCGACCATCTCCGATCACCACCTTAAAACTCTTAATTTAAAAAATATATAAACGTAATAGACCAGACACCTAAAAAATATTTTGAACAAAAAAATCTTTAAACACCTAAAATTAACTCAAGTTCTAATTTGTGCACTTATTTTTTAATTAAACCAAATATTTATATATAAATCTACTAATCTTTTATTTGATTATTCAATAGTGATTTTCAGTTGTTTATATTTAAATATGAAATAAATTACAAAATAAGAGTGAAGAAAGATAATAGCAAAATAACCCTCAATATTTGCCTGTATTTTCAATTACGCCCTTAACTTTGTCATGATACTTCTACGAATAATGTTGACAGTTAATTGACCATCGAAAAATAATTTATTTCAGAAAAATTGAAACGTTATAATTAAAATTATTAAATAAAGCTTTAAGACAAGTTATTCATGTGGAAAAAATAGCAGAACAATCCAGCAAAGAATAACCCTAAATATCCGCTGTGATCAAACCATCTAAAGACACTGGAAACTTTCTCACATCTAGACCAGAAAAAAATCACTAGTGATTTTGTCCGACGTTTAAATAATGCGGCGAAAGATGTGATTCATCAACGTATAATTTATCGAAAAAATTTGTTTTTTTTACCTGCAAAATTGAAGCTTGATCTTGATCACATTCTTTTGATTCCATCAAATATACATTACTCTGTCCTCATCGCCGCCAGAAACGACCTTGCTGCTGCCTCTGTTCTTGCTTTCGCCTGTGTCATCATCGTTCCAAATCAAAAAGCCGCTCGTTGAACAATGCTTTACCGAATACAAAAGTATAAAATGGAGAAACTGAGACATATTTTGATAATACACAAAGGTAAGAAGGAACTTCACCTCTGATACTCTTTAGAACGCTCGAGAAACTCTTTTGCGATATCTTTTCTTTCATAAGATTGTAATACTTGTCTGATATCGGTTGGACTATTCCGGGCAATGTCTGTGGAAAAGCCAAAACAGATAGTACTGATCAAGATTCAAGACCATTTGGGTTGAACAACCCCGCTACACACAATGTTAATTTGAACAACGGAAACAATCGAGGGGAAAAGAAACGACATACAACTTACATTCAAGGAATGGAATAAGATCCAAAAGTGTTGTATCCTCGCCTTCAAGCTTGAAAGGTTTAATAGGGACACAATTTTCAGGTTGAAGGCTAGACTCAAAAGCATGAGCACTCACATATAAAATCTTGGCCGGATCCCTGTTAAGCTTCAAAAGATCCTGCCAACAGGAACCATTTTCTTAAAAGAATTCTCAGGGTATTAAAGACAGTCTCGTAGATTAATGAAATTCATATAGCATAAAACTGAGGGGGGGAAAGCTAAGTGATCAACTATAACATACTCTATAATGCTTGCCATTCTGATATTTAGTATCACCCCTTGATAGCCTATATCGTATACAATGGTTAGGATCCAACCTTTCGCAGACAGGATCGACGTACTGCATAATCCAAAATGAATAAAAATATTATATTGCTGGTAACATTAGTTATCCAATGCTAATGTGTTTGAAACGGTTATCACAATGGAAAAGTTCATATTACCATATTCATCTGGTCAGAGTACACAACAATTTCGTAGTACTTTGCCAGATGTTCCAAAAAGGCATCAACACCGGGTCTTTTGAAGGTATGCCAGCCTCTCTCTCGCTTTACCATCCAAAAAGGAAAGAGAAAGAATTACACAAGTTTGATTTGAGCTTTAATAAAACATAAAAATGGTTTATAAGGAAAACGGAAAATAAATTTAAGTAAAAAAATTTACCTTCCAATCTGTATAAAGTAATGTCTCGTTCAGATCCAGGACAAGCGTAAAAACATGTTGTTCTTGAGGATGCAAATCAGGCAGAAGCTTATCTGAGGTTGGCTCAGTAAATTCCTGAAACATGAGATATAAGAATAAATAAAACGAGCTTAATGCTAATACAAAGAGCTTTAGCTGGAACTGACAATTTACAAGAAGAAGAGCACTCACCGACACATTTTCTTCCACTAACCTCCTGAGATCCAGATAAGATTCAACTGCTTTACATGGAACTGAGGTTTCACAAGCAAAAAGGCAGTGAGCAAATAGGAGTGAAAGCAGAACACATGGTTGAACAAGTTAACAGAGAGAAATGAGCACCAAACAATGAAGTTCTTTTTTTATTCTGCTGGCAAAATGAATCCATTTATAATGAAGTAACCCAATTAATCTAAAGGAACAGTTATGGAGAGTTAAATAAAAGACAAACAAAATGTAAAAATATCTCATTGTTATGCAAATATTTTTCTAGTAATTATGTTAACATATAGAAGTGAAGAGAAAATTGCAGCTATGAACAAACAAAGGAGTAAAAAGAAATAAAGAAACATAACAATATCCTCACCTGCCATAACCGCAGAGTAAAGCAAGCCTCGATATTTCTGGAAAAAATAAATATGGAAAACACTCGATTCATTCAGAGAAGCAACAAAACAATGGCTATATCAGATTACAAAAACTTAGCAAAAGTTCACACATAAGCATTCATATGCACAAGGAGCATATAAATTATATTCCTACAGATTGAAAAGAAATTGTTGCAAGATTTATCAACTACTTAAACAGAAATGCAGAAGAAACCAAGCGCATATGAATGAGAATAAAATTATACCTATATCGATTATCTGCATAATGCATTAAACAAATTGTTCATGGCATTATTCAAATGCTAAACTAAAATGAGAAAATTCATTTTAAAAAAAAAATCCAAACATACATCAACAGCGGGTGCATGTGCATCTTCACCAGAAGCAAAGCTTGCTGCAGCCCGCAATGCCTTTGCCTTCTGATCTACTTCCTCGTACGAACACTCTGCAATACGAATCATTTTTTTTTAAAAAATAAACATTTCTAATCATATTAGAAACTCGCATTTTAAGCAAGAATATAAATCAAATCACAAAACATCCAATACTTGTTAAAAGGACTTACTATAAGAGAGATAACCAGCATAACCGGCAGTTCCAGTAACAACCGCGATGAGTCCGTACTTGAGAATGCTCCAAGCCTTCTCTCCCGACGCTTGTGGCGCAGTTTCCGGCGCCGGACGAGGAGGAGGAGGAACCTGAGATTGATCGGAAAGAACGGCTTGTGAAGCAATGATCGTTTCTCTAGATGAATTTGAAGAGGAGGAATCGACTCCTGAACTTAAAACCCTCCGATTAATGATCTCTGACCTGCATTTACTTGAAAGTATCCGAGATCGAAGAACAATCGAAGACATTTTAATTAGGGTTTTTGAATTTTGATCTGAGGGTGTTGAGTTTGTTTGTCTGTCCGACGGAGCTTTTACTGAATTGTTTAGGGTTTTACAGATCGAATTAGCGACGAATCCGACACGTGGATCTTTAAAGGGCCGTTTGGAAGTTGGTTTTGATCAATCTTGAACTGAATTAGGGATGGCAACTGGATTTTAACCTAATGCCATTCCACCCGACTTGACCTTATAAGATTAGATTTTATAAAAAATAAGATTTAGATTGGGTTGAGTTTTTTAGAGATTATGTTCGGATTAGGTCGGGTTAAATTTGGATTTACGGTAAAAAATATTTGATCCGGCTTAATCTAAAAAATATAATTTTACCTTATATATTTAGTGATAATTGCAATAAAATCTCTCAATATATTATTTTTAAATTAAATTTCTATTTTTTTAATAAAAGTAATATTCATTTTATAAATATATTATTTCAAATCGGATCGGATCGAGTTTGAGTTTAATCTTATAGTAGGCTACCCCAATACCAGGTTAATAACAGCTTTCGTAAGAGACCTCCGAATTATGAAATGTCATCCGTGAGACTCGATCTCACGACCTCAAAGTTAAGAACCTTATGCTCAATCCATATATATCCCTAACTGGAATAGTAGAATCAACTTTTCAGTCCGTACTAATCTCTTAATGCCTGGTCTCATCTTAAAAAGAAGAATAATAATTAACCCCTTAGGTTTGTACAAATGGTAACTTTGCTCGCTATCTTTTTTTTAGCATTTTAGTCCACAAAGTTTTATTTTGGAGTAAAATGTCCAATGATTAAATGAAAATTGTTAGTTGACTAACTATTAATGTTTCACATAAACATGACTAGTACATGTGTGATGTCACTTCAGCAAAAAAAAAGATATTTTTAGAGTAAATTATAATTATAATTAATTACATATACACTTATAAAAATATATTTAAAAATAATTAAAAATATTATTTTGATGACATGACATCACACATGGACATACCACATCAATAGGAAACATTGATCATCAGACAACTAACAATTTTCGTCTATCCAAATGACATTTTGCTATAAAATAAAACGTTGAATGTTAAAATGTTCTAAAAAAAGAGAGAGAGGACAAAGTGACCATTAGTACAAACATTAAGAATAATTTTATTATTATGCCTTATAAAAACACATATAATAAAAATATAGTAGAATAATTAAATTATGTCCAAATGCTTATTTTGATTATTAAATTTTTAAAAAACATAAGATTTTATTGATTTAATACAAAATTATTACTATGACTTTGTTAAGAGTCTAGAGATTTATCATCTATTAATAATAGAGTGTATTTACCAATAATCAGTTGGTCTAGTGGGATGAGACACTAGGTTTCTTAAGAAAGGTCAATGGTTCGAATCATAACGTTTGCGAATGAAGCAAACTGGGTTAGGAGGGTTGTCCTTGCCTCTGCAGTACCCGATATGAATTAGTCGGTCAATAGATCGGATACCAGTGATTAATTCAAAAAAATAATAGAGGTGTATTTAATTTAGTTTGATATAAAAATTTAAATATTTGGTTTGATTTGGTTCTATTTATTTTTGTGATTTTAAATTGTTTGTTTTTCAAATTTAACCTCCAAAAATAGTAAATTTCAAACTTAAATTAAGTTCAAAAACATAAATATAAATTCATACAAGTAATCTGATTATTTTTAGGAGTTTATTTATTTAAATTTATCTTAGTATAGATTCAAAACGAATTTGATTTGGATTATTGTTTTTATTTTTTTGATTTGATTTAATTTATAATCAATGAGTTTCATAGAAAAAAACAAATTTAAATCAAATTGTGAAATTATATATTTAAATCGAACCATAAAATAAAAACCTCAAATCTAATTGAACGTACAATTCGATTAAGAATGATTTTTTAATTTTCTCAATTTCGTTACACATTCCTAATCAACAGATAATGGTGGACAATGATGACAATTTAATATGAATTCGACGGTTTCGACACGATCTGATCTGATCTGATAGGATCGAATTTAAAAAAAAAAGATTTCGGGTTGTGGTATGTTTGATTTTTTAAGATGTGATGTCAGGACGGGTTCGGTGAAGGGTGGAAAAATCCGACCCGACCCCTGGATAATAATTTAATTTTCTTAGAAAATTTTATTATTCTTTTAATTAAGTCCTTATTTTATACCGGGACGGATCAAATTTATATTTCTACGAATTCGGGTTGGATCAGATCAGAGTCGGGTGGAAAATATATATTTTTGGGTCAGATCGGATGAATGATATATAATTTTTGAGTCAAGTTGGATTTAAGTGGAGAATACATATTTTCAAATCAGATTGATTGACCAAAAATCTGATCTTAACCCAATCTGTTTCCATCCCTAATTGGTGGAGCTGAACAATTTTAAGGTAGTGTGATGACGTCTCGTATTAGTTATGGGATCATATGTTGGGAGGTGCAAATTATACGAGACAAAAACATATTACAATAAAGAATATACAAAAAGGGCATTTAAATCATATAAAAATTGTAATTTTTCTAAGAAACGATTGTCCCTATCGATTCTTTTCGATCGATCATTGCCTTAGCAGAAAGTTGATTAATGTGGATACTAACTAGGGATGAGTACGACACCCGAATTCGACGGGTTCTAATCTTATTGGGTTCTTTTTTTTTAAACATTTGGGTTTGGGTTTGGATCGGGTTGAGTTCGGGCTCAAGGTAAAAAATATTTGACCTGACCTCAAAAAAATTATAATTTTAACTTTTATCTTTAGAGATAATTACAGTAAGACCCCTCTATACAATTATTTTTTTATTAAATAAAGATAATATTTTTATAAATATATTATTTCGGGTTGGATTGAGTCGAATCGAGTTTTATCTAAAAAAAAGAGGTCAGGTTTTAAATCGGATAGAGGATGTCAGGCAGGGTTCGAATCAAGTGAAAAATGTATAATTTTCGAGTCGAATTTGATCGACCAAAAACCCAACCCATACCTATCCCTAATTTTAACTACATAACTACCACTAGACAAATTAGTGGGTCCAAGAAATGATGAATTGGTTTTGTTGGAACAATATATATAATGATCACATATAACTAATAAAAATGAAATTTAAACCTTTTTATTTTCCTTCTTTGTCATGACCAACAAATTTGATCATAAATTATAATTTTCATATAATCACAAACTATTATTTGTTAAATAATAATTAACCAAACTTTTAACAAACTATATTAAATTTTAAAATTCATATTTTTAATTTTTCTCTCAAAGTTTTCGGTGATGACTAACGACTCTGTTAATTCTTTCTAACGTGCCACGTCAAGTAGGCCAACGTCCCCCGTTTAATGATGTGGCATGTCATTTTCTCAATTTTTAATTTCCACCTAAGTTGATACAAAACCAAAAGGTGATGTCTTGCTTGACGTGGCACATCAGTAGGAATTAATAGAGTCTGAAGATACTAATTTTTTACCCACATTACTATTATTATTATTATTATTATTATTATTATTATTATTATTATTATTATTATTAAATATATATTAAATAAATATATATAAATAAATAATTACAGACCAATTACAACTGGACCGGCCCAATTACAAACAAACCAGAACCGGTCCAGATCAAACCAGAAACCCTAAACATTTAGGGTTCCAGTTAGGGTTTCCTAACCCTAATCTAGTCGGCTGCCTCATCACAGCCGTTGGATCTGAGAGATCCAACGGTCCAGATTGCTCCAGATGAAAACCCTAGGGTCTGATACCCTAGGGACACGCAGCCGCTGCTGCTATCTCGCCGCCTCCGCCGCTGCCACGTCCCAACCGAAGGCTCCAGAAGCTCCAACGCCAGCCGTCCACGCCATGGCTACGGGGTGAGTCACCACTGGTAGTCCGGTGACTCACCGAGACCCCCTCTTCGGACCAGTCCGATGGCCACACCGGTGGTGGCTATAAAAACCACCACCCCAACCTGTAAAAAAAAACAGAGACAGAGACAAAAAAAAAAACAGAGATAGACGAGGAAACAAGAGAGAGAGAGATAAAGAAACTAGATACTAAAAACTACCAACGCAACATTCAGCAAAGAAACAGAAAAGAAGGAAAAGGAAGGAAAGAAACTTACCGAGGAAGCCTCGACCACCGGATCTCGTCAGAACCTTCGAAATACCGAAGGTATTTTTGTAGATTCGCTCCGATTAGGAGCTTTTTAAGGGAAAAGAACACCGGGACCGTCCTTAGGACGGTCCGATCTATCTATTAGTGTGAAAATAAATTTTTCCGGCCACCAAATGCGGTGGCCGGCGGTGACATTCACGGCGGCACACGGTTGCCGTCCGGTGACCAGCTTCCCTCCGATGAGGGAAGCTAGAGAGAGTTTTAAAACTCTCTCAGTTTAGAGAGAGAGTGAAATGAAATGAGATAGCTGGCCCTTCGGCCAGCCGTTTTGGGCATAAATAGCCCTTCCCAACGACGCCGTTTTGGGGAGGGTTCGTTAAACAATAGTTAAACCCCGTCCGCAGTCCTCCGAACTTGTAAACTTTACATTTTAGTCACTAAATTGAATTTATAATATTTTTAATTCAGTCTTCGAATTTTAATTTCTTTTATTTTAATCCTTATATTAAAATAATATATTTAGGATAAATAACAGATTTAATCCCTTAATTTTAATAAATAATATTTAATCCTTAGTTATATTTTTAATTATTTATTCTAATATCCAAATTTTAGATAATTTTATTTTAGTATTAAATAATAAAATAAAGAAATAGCATGTTTAATCCCTATAATTTTGATTAATTATAAATTAGATTTTTAAATTTATTTTTACATTTAGTCATTTATTTTATATGTTTCATTTATTTTACTGCTTTTAAAATATATTTTTAGTGGTATTTTTTTTTGTTTATATTTATGTATTCATAAATATATAATAATAAATAGTAATTTTTAAATATTTATTTTTAATATCGAAGAAAGGACAGTCTTAATACAACTGGATGTCCTATTCTGATATTTTAAAATTAAAAAT